CCCCAAAACCCCAAAACCCCAAAACCCCATGCATATTATTAAGCTTGAAAAATAGTATAATTGAATGAATTATATTCTAAAGTTTTTATTAAAGAAAAATATTAAGATTGGTAATTATTTTGAGTTAATAGATTTAACAATAAAATGTTAGAAGCAAGGAAATCGCCATTAATAACAAAAAAAATAATTAACTCTAGCATCAACTAAAAGGACAAATCTCTTCATCAGACATAGCCACATGCAATCAGCTATAATATTAACAGACACTACGTACAATAATCCAGAAGTTAGGTGGGTTCAAAGATTCAGTCTACTTCTCGAAATGCAATGAATCAGCAGTCCAATGAAGATTCCCAGTAATTTCAAACAAAAACTATTCAGATAAATCTTAACTAACTTGGACATTCCTCCTCTTAAAGTCAACTTACTTAAGGGATACATGCGGCTAGATCTGCAAGAGGTGATGAAGATGAGGTAGGCAATTAGAGGAAGCAACAAAGGAATCAAAATGACAATTCAAGAGTATAAACAGCCAGGAATCGTAAATCTCCAAGTCCTTAAAAGATTATCTACAATCTCGACCCAAATAGACAATACTAATCGATCATAAATGATAACCCACCATCCACAAAATCTTAAACTCATAAAAACAAAAAATCTATAGACTCTAAATTATCTACCTCTAGATTGAGCAATAAATTTGGAAATACCAAAAAAGAGACGATTTTTAATCCTCAATAGGCTTTCAGGACTACAGTATCTGCAGTGACAGCAGCTTAAAATCTAAAAAGTAGAACAGCTAATCAAACATCAACAACTAATGCGAATCATTAGCATTAAATGATGATGCCAATGCAACATTAGAAAATATCTATGAGTACATACAAGCCTACTGCGTTATAGCAGGCAAATGCTGCAAATGTGATTTAGTCATTTGAATCATAGAATAGGTAGAGTAAACTGCCAATTACAATTTAAATTGAGAAAAATCGAAAAACAAAAAGACCATCAGAAAATAACATGCTATCTCCAGCCATAATGTGTTAATAGAGCCCTCGCCTTACTTTAGGGGCAGGATCAACTACAGGTGCTACCTCTGTCTACTCAATAACCACTGATTCTATTGTAAACTCATCAACTATTAATAATCCAAATCAAAGAAAAATGTGCTTGTCTGAAAAGTTAGCCCCAAAGGGCAAAAAGAAAAGACAAAATGCGCATAAGTAGCCTAAATAAATTACAATTACAAGAGATTAAATAATTCTTCAGCCGTTCTTAAGCATATATTCAACCTAAAATGGTGGATAAATAGCCTAAACTGAGAGTAGATACATAACAGATACAAATCCCCAAAATAACTCAATATAATCTAGCGTCTAGGTTTAGCTTATAAACACTTTGAATAACATTGAGAGTACGCCTAATACAAACTATAACGATCTTGGAGATGATCAGGATTTTCTAACTCAATTTAATAGAGATCCATCTAATAAGGATCTATAAGACTTGTAAAGAAAAGGAAGTGACATGTTCTCATTTTAGATGACGAATGGAAAATCCAAAAATGGGAAAAACTCTATATTGGAAGAATCAAAAGAAATAACAGGGATATTTGGCTCTTAGAATCTTGAGTCTCTTGGAAATGAACCTCAAAGTAGACCTTCACTTGACAATAATCATCATGAGAGAAAAAAGACTGTAGAAATACCTACTCCTGTATTTTAAACTGCTACTAGAAGCTAATCAGGATTCAAATAAAATGATGTGGTATTACATCTAGATGTGAAGCTATGTGATGATTCACCGAAGTAAATGGCCTAGCAAGAATAATCATCTTTAAGAATTAAACATTCATAGGTAATGCATAATAGAGGAGGGTCTATGATAGAAGAAAGAATTTTGCAACCAAGTGAAGAATAAAAGTTGAAGGAAGAATAAGAAATTGAAAAGCAATCAAATATCTCAAGCAATTTCAATCAAGAGTAATCTTAATCTTTAAAAAAAGTTTACTCAGCAAGTGATTTAAATTTAAGCAGAGGTAATTAATCAGCTCAAACTACTACCTTAAAAAGGAATGACTCTAATGGAAGCTTCTTTAGTAGAATCAAAAACTATTTTGGAGGTAAGCCCTAGAGTGAGATAATTGATGTAAACTAACCCCTAAATGAGTTCAGATGCAAATGTGGACCTTCTGGTAAAACATATGCTTGCAAAAGGGCCTTGAGATGGCTTTAATTTTCTAATAGCTACTCAGATTTTGAGTATGAAAAGAATAAGCAGCTATATCATGGACTGATGAACTTCACTACTGCATCTGGTAGTGAAACTTAAATTGAAAGAGATATTCCAAGAACATTCCCTAATGTAGATCCTTATATGAATACAAACGAAGGTTAACAGAAACTATTTAGAGTCCTAAATGCTTTTTCTAAGTACTTTAATTATATTGGTTATGTTCAAGGCATGAATTTTATCGTAGGTGCTCTGTTGATGCATTGCTCAGAGGATATTGCTTTTTGGCTATTCGTATCTTTAATTGAGGATTTTGAAATGAGAGATATCTATCAGCCAAAGCTACCAGGTCTTTATAAGCATAGTTAAGTGCTTTAATTACTGTAAATGGAGCATCTTAGAAAAGTTTATTATCATTTTTCTGCTTAGAATATTCTAATTGAAATGTATGCAAGTGATTGGATTTTCGCATTATTCAGCAATATTATTCCTATAAGTGAATATCATCACTTTTTGGATAGATTTTTTGTGGGAGGTTGGACATTTTTCTATAAATTCTCTCTTTCTTTCTTGAAATGCCATTAGGAAGAGGTCATCCGTCTATTTGATCTTAGTGAAATCTTGAATATGGTCAAGCTTAAAAACATTAAAAAAGATGCTATGATTGAAAATAAATCCCCAAGAGTTAGATTTGATGAAAGTGGCTAGATTTCAGAGCTTGAAAGTATGAAGAGATACTCTGATACATCATCTTTATCCCCAACAAGATAAACTGGTCAAGTTAGCTAAATGAGAAACTTATTTAGTAGATTTTTAGGCAAAGATTCTTAAATCACCTCGGAATCCTTCAGAGATGACTCTGTTTGGGAGCGACTCGTTAACTTGAGTTGCTAAGAATGGGAAAATGAATTTAATGAAAACTACGTTAACTAGCTTCTCTCAAGCTTTGATCCAGATAAATTGGTGTTTAATAATAGTACTCCTAATACTCCTAAGGAAGCTTCGATAGTGTACTCAGCAAAAAAATAATCCTCAAAGGCTAATTTAAATATCTAATTTGAAAGCGACAGGTCTCTTCCTCATTAATCATATAATAATGATAAGAGAATTCAATAGCAAATAATACCCAAGCCTAAGAAGCAAGGGTCTAAACTCTAAATTATAGTGAATGACAATAATATGAGGAATCCTAGATAAAATAATTTTTTGTTGGCAGATTAGAATAGCAGCAGATTAAGTATTCAATCCAAGCAAGCAAGAAGTTTACAGCCAAGAGATAATAAAATAAAATCCAACCCAAAAAAATATGCTCCTTGAGTTAAAAATTGATTTATTGTATGTAAATTTAATAATTTAAGAATATGCTTACTTTAAAAATACTAGTAGAACATAATTTAATTTAATTTGTTAAAAATCAAACATATTACCTTCGATTTAAAGCTTTGCTATCCTCACATTGATTTCTTCTTTCCTTCAATTAAATATGTCTGCTTCATTAGCCTGGCTATTAATTAGGTGTTTGCTGATCCCCAGCAATTTATTCCTACCCTACTACTGGTGGGTATGCCCCTGTATCTGGCTAATGTTCATAGCCTAAGCCTGCATAATACTGTTACTGCTACTAATAATATGCTGCATAATCACCTTAGCCTCCTTGAGCTCCTGCTTGCTAATAATATTGTTAGTAATACTGATTGTAATATTCCTGATTATATTATTGCTGTTATTGATCTGTTGCAATTTATCCTTCAGCTGCTGGCTATTATTATTCAGGGTTTGGATTTGCTGGCTAGTCAGTTTTCTGCTAAGCATAGGACTAGTCATAGTATTGTTGTCCATAATACTATTGGTAATAAGCAGCATCATAATTTGGATCTGTACCAGCAGCAGCACCATAGTAATTTTAATAAGCATTGTAATCATATCCCTCCTAACCATACTATCCTGTATGTTCTTAATCAGTCCTCTCACCTTATTTTGATGCTAAAAATTTATATAAACAAAAAGTATTCTTACGATCCATTTGTTAGCTTTAATCATCATACGACCATCCTGTAAGTTGCATACTTGCATATGCAATCATAGGATTTTCTGTCAGTAAATTACTAGCAAAACTTCCGCTTTCTGGCTTTAAAGAATCAGGGACGGCACCATTAATTGCCTATCCGTCAGAAGCTAGCTTTTATTAATTATAGACTGCAATACCACTACCATATGGATTCTTAGAGTAATCAAAATTAGATGAAGATGATTAGGACATATACCTCTGGATGAGACTTAGAATCTCTTATCTTGCTATTTCACAACTTTAGGCATCTCCGTCTGCCTCTATAGTTCTCTCCTCAGATCCAGGATCAGTATTCTTTTGAGGTACGAATATCTTAGTGTTACTTCTTTGAGCAATACCTCTTAGATTTTCTCCATTTTTACCTATAATTAAACCTACAAATTTGTCTGGAACTTTGATTTTCTGATGTGGACCTGCGAATGGATTAACATCTCCTACATGGATTTAAGGATCTGCAGTTCTTCTATGTTCTCTTATAATTTCTTCAATCATTTCTTTAGCTCTTTAATATTTCTCAGGTACTCCTTCTACGAAGACATTTCTTAGATTACTATTAGGAATTTCTTTCTTGGCAACCTATATTTTCGCTCCACTCTCCATTTAAAGTTGTCTTATTGTATCTCCTCCTTTCCCTATAATTAATCCTACACAATCATTGGGAACAGGAATAATATATGCATAAGGGGAAGGTGGACCATATGGAGTCATCATACTATCGTCCATCTATGAGTTAGGGAGGACTTAATTGTTAATTTGCTAGGCTACATTCAATTATTCTTCTCTAATTTTATTTCTTGTAGAATCATCAGCAGAAATGACTCTCTCGATAGCATTTTGAGCTCTTCTAACACTCTCTGCTGAATCTCCAATCACAAGTACATGTTGCTCATCATTATCATCTGGTTAAGGAGCTGAGCCTTCTTTTTAAGATCCCTTACCTCTGATTAAGATTTTGCATCCTGACTCTTCTTCAAGCCTCTTTTGATATAGTCCTCTAGGTCCAATCAAAAGTCCAATATAATTTACACCAGTGTTCTTTGGCAAGTAAATCTTCTTCTTGATCTTAGATGAATCTTGTAAAGCATTAAGAATGGCAGGACTCAAGTTTTACATCAAACTTGGATTTGCTCCAAACATAAGAGCGGGATGGGACTCATCCAAACTCATTCTCTTATCCTTGAGCTCTAAAAAGATATGATTTATCAAATTGCTTTTCTTACATTGTTATTTGAGATCCTCTGCATCTGCATCTGTCCAAACAAATTTCTTCTTCTTTTGTGGAACAGCTGGTGGAGGCATTAGCACTTTCTAATCAATTTAAGCATTCCCATTTGAATTCGGAGGTAGGTTAGCTGATCGCGCCTAAGTTAAAGAAAAATAAATTCTTACGTTAATCTGAGAATCTGCTTCTTCTAGCTTCTCTTCTTTTCTCTTCTTCTTGCTGCTGCTGGTATTTTTTATATTCTTCTTCTCTGCTGAGAGGTTGCTCTACTTATCTTCTATCACTGCTGTGATTCTCAGATCGGCCTCTTCCATTACTATCATCATGGCTATTATGCCCTTTTTCATCTCTAGATGATTTGCTACTATGATCATCATATTTTCTATCTCTGTCTCTTGGACGCTCTTCTCTTCTAGATTCTACGCGTTCTCCACTTCTAGAGTGTCTTCTGTGCTTTTTCTTATCTTTATGCCTGTGGTCTCTTTTTCTATCAGTTGATCTTGATCTCGATTTCGAGTACTTTCCCATTTATAACAAATTGAACTTATTTAATTAATTTTATATTTACTACTGATGTCAAATATTGATTCATGGGGTTTTGGGGTTTTGGGGTTTTGGGGTTTTGGGG